AATATAGAAACAAATATGTCTAAATTAAGGAGTACCAATTCTGCTCTTTCCTTTTATAGACTTTTCTCATTAAGTGCTTGAATTAAGACATATGTTTGAGCAATTGCACTTTGAAATATTTACTTGACATTCAAATATCATAAAGATAATAAAGTTATTATTATCTTGAAAAGGATTAGCCTACTTTTAGCATTAAGGAAAAACATGTGGTACATTAAAGTGGACCTAAAAATATAGAAACAAATATATCTAAATTAAGGAGTACCAATTCTATTCTTTCCTTTTATTGACTTTTCTCATTAAGTGCTTGAATTAAGACACTTGTTTGAGCAATTGCACCTTGAAATATTTACTTGACATTCAAATATCATGAAGATAATAAAATTATTAAAGTTTGAACAATAATATGAATCCGTGTTATTTCCTAATCATATTACTCTTTTTGTTATATATACAAAAAATATAAGTTTATATTAATATTTAAAATTAAGTCGGAGCAAAGTTTTTTTCTAAATGAGAATAGCTGAATTAATAATTAATAAAAGTAATTCAATGTTTTGGTTTGAAATGACGCAGTTATATTTAAGGATTAGCCTTTTGTAAACAATTTGTATTCTGCTTTGTTATAGTAGTTAATATTATGCTTCTTTTTACTTCTATATATAAACCATAGGACCAACATGTGATTATAAAAACATTTTTTAACTGTATTACTCCAATTATTTTACAAAGAGCATTTATGTTTACATAATTAACATATTTTAAGTAACCTATTTTAAGATTGAAATTTCACATACATATTTATTTAATAAGAATTAACTCTATGCCGGACTTAACCATTTGATTTCAAGTATCACTATATGAACTCCAAACAGTTTATGTATGTCGTTAATACCATACTAACGATATATTAACAAAAATGAATTTGATGTAAATTTTTTATTATTATTATTGTATCGTTACAACTTACAGTAATTCGTTGTCCATTCACATCCTCAAGACATATAGTGTAGCGAACTTTGCGAACAAATTAATCACAAATTCCTTTTGTAATTTTGGTTTATTCCAAAAAGATATGATATTTTTTTGAATTTGTATAAATCATTTCCTCTAATTTTTCTTTTTTCCTTCCAAAAAACCCGTAATGTTATTTAACTGAATAAGATATTTGAATTTGTGCATATTATTTTTTTTAATTATTCTTTTTTCTTTTGATGAATCCGTAGTTTGCTTTTAAAAAACTGAATTTGTTATAAAACATTGAAGAATCCATTACATTATGTAACAAAATGCAGTTTGATTACATGAAAATAGTGTTATATTGCAATAATTAATATTGTACCATTAGTATTAACGTTTTGAACTAAATCATGACATGATACTAATCGTAAGAGCATTAGTTATTATTTATAGGGAGTGTAACTTCTAATAGTGAATAGCAAAACATGGCAGGGTGGACCCTTCACTTGCACATGTGCACTGAATACTCAGGCTCATATAGGTAGTTGACTAGAGTTAAATTTTTGTGTGGCTTTCGTTCTACCACGCATACCCATGACATCATCAGCTTTTGTGGATGTTTAAAGTCCTAAGAAGTGGTGATATTTACGAAAAAGTGTTTGGACAAACAAAGGATAGTATTGGAATGTATTGGTTTTCTAGTCAATGCACATTGACCAGAAGCTCCTCTCGATACCCTCTTATTAATAGTAGTAATATATATGAGATTTTTAACTTCCTATACTAAATACGAAACTTTATTATCCTTTCTAATCAAGTTTTAATTTAATTACATGTTCATATATAATTTATCAATTATATACAAATTAATTTTAAATGAGTATCTCTTTAAATTAGAAATTGAATAAGAAATCAGTTATTTCTCATTATTGTCCTCTCTCTCCTACTCTCTCTCTCTCTCTCTCCGTCTCTCTATCTCTCATTCTCTATTATTTCCCCAATTTTTCTTCATCTGATGTTCTCTACTTTTTATCCTTTCATGTTGTAATATTTTTAATAGAATTCATCAATGGATTTCAATCGTTTTACTATAGATTTTTAACTTATCAATTTCCTTTCATGTGTGCATAATTGGTGTTCAAATTAAAATTGCCAATCAATAAATTTTGAAGGTGTTTGACTCTCCACCATTGACAACCATTAAAAAGCTTTGAAGCTTTGAAATCGAATTTGGGTTTTCAAAAATCATTATTTGTTTGGATTGGGTGTTGTTGCAAACAATTGGGAATATTGTTTGGAGTTTATATCTCATTTTTTAGGGTGTTTGGTGAAGATTAGACTTGATTTTGGTTGAATTTCATATTGAAACTCGAAGAAGAAGAAGAAGAAGAAGAAGAAGAAGAAGAAGAAGAAGAACACATGACATACAATATATTTACGAAATTATAGTAAATTTGTATTATAATTGTATGTAAATTATATTCTGTTGTAGTTATATATATATTTTTAATTTGAATGTTGTATGAAAGTTAAAAAATAATTGTATAATATATGAATCGTTGTATAAAATTTGTATTTAAGTTATCAATACTATCTTTTTACATAAAGTTGTTGATATGTATCAAAATTATTTTAAAAGAGTAAGTTTTGATTTGAATTTTAGAGAGGAAGAAGCACACACCACATACAAAATATATACAAATCAGATATAAAATATATACAAATCATATTTGTGTGTATTTAAGTTGTATAATGTTGTAGTTGTATTTAACTAGGTAAGGATGTATGAAAGTTGTAGATAAGTTGTATATTGCATAATTAGTTGTATGAAATTTATTTTTATTATGTATGTTGTTGTAGATATATCAAATTTTGTATTAAATTTGTATTAAATTTATTTTTAATTTATATGATATTGTACCATGCATTATTCTTTTATTAAAAATAGCTAATTATGACAAAGAGAGAGAAGAGTATAATGTATTCAACAACTTCTCAATTAGCAGCTTTTTCTTGTCAATGTTATGTTGAAGTTAATACTACTTCTCATTCTTTAGCACAGTTAAGATCTCATTAGCTGCCACAATCACAATGTTGAGGGGTTGTCCTCCACATAAAAGGTATTGAATTATAGAGAGCATGGCTTCATAAGCAGCCCTAGTTCCCTTTGTTTTTGGCTGGTAAACTCCTCCTCCTTCCTTTGTTTCCAAAGTAAGAACACTTTCTTCATGAATCCTCCGTCTCTTTTCAGTGGGCTCAGAGACAAGTGGATGTTTCTGTTCCTTCTCCTGAATTTTCTTGGGAGGCTTACTCCTATAAACTCGATCCCCAAAAGTGTTGGGGTCAATTCTTCCATACAGAGACTCTGCTTCACTAGAGGTTGAATTGTCCAATATGTAATTGTAGGTTTTCATTGGCTTGGTGGTTAACACCAAGAATAAGGTTATGTACCATTTCTTCTTCATTTTGCTATTGTCCGACTTTTAGTAGCTTTATCAGAATATATTGTGCAAATATTATAGGGTTCAGGGGCCGTTTTGTGTCTCTGTCATTTTATTTGGTAATTGGCTTTATTAGTGCAGTTTCTCTATATTAATTTCAATACTCTTGTGCTACATAATTATAGAGTTGAATTTGTTCTTATTGTTAATTATAATACTCTCGTGCTTCATTATCATGGAGTTGATTTATTCGTATTATTTGTTTTAATTTCAATTACAAATTGGGCTAAATTTGCTGCTTACTATTTCTGTCTGAATAAGGGCCTAGAAGTGAAAATTTCTTTGAGATGCCTGCCCCAACGGGTTCAGGAAACATAAAGCTTAGGAAGAAACTAAAACGGAAGTTGCTATTGCCACCATCATATACTCAAATGTGGTTAACACGATTGTTCCTTACAGTTATGCCTTTTTCCAAGCAAAGAATCTCCTAATTTAATGCATTAATAATGGATTGTATATAATTTGTAAGTAATCCTTGTTTAGGGCGGGTAATATACAAAATTAGAACAATTTTAGTAAATAAGTTTCAAATATTGTATAGGAAGAAAAAAATTCCTATATATATATATTCTTTCAAACTTAAACAAAAGTTTCAGGATTAATCAATACGATTGGACCAAACATCAGCTAGAAATGTTTTTTTTAAAAAAGTTCTTTCAACTAATCAATACGATTGCTAGTGATCTCAGGATTAATTATTTCGGTAAACAAGTTATCTCAGGATTATTTTGGGATTGTTATCTCATTCTTCCATAGGGATAAAAATAATACTATAATCCCGGTATAACTAATTCAAGAATTAATTATACTGCAACTTTATTTCAACTAAATATGAAATAAACTCATCTCAAATTTAATCACAGATTTAATTATCCTTTATCTCACGTACCAAACAAATCCTTAGAAGTTAGAACCTCCATGCGCCTCCAAAATCCATATACCCTTTAGGATTCCTTTAAGCTTATCAAAAACAAAAATAAAAATGTTAAATATTTGCATGAGTGTGACGGGCGAAATTTCTCGAACCCCAAATCCAGAAATTAGGAAACACGTATGCTGGCCAATAGATGTTGCTTCCTTTCGAGGATGATAAACAAAATTGGGTTAATTGGGAATGGCTTTGTCTTCTTTTCCTCTTTTTTTTCCTGGTTAAAATATTAAAGTTTGCAAAACTATTTTAAATATACCAAAAGGTTAATCAGAATTATAGTCCATTAGCTTCCGTTTAGGTCATGAAATGCTGATGTTTATTTTTTTTGGCAATAATGCAACTATAACTTCAGTGAATTTGTATGGCAACATTCTATAATTATTAAATTTTTAATTCTAACTCCCAATGAAATCCCATCTTTATGCAATGTTGCTCTTTATGCTCTACAGTAAATGTACCTGTGACCACTTTAGCTAAATGGATAGATGGTAGGAAAAAATAACCTCTGCTCACTTCAGAAAGTGCAAACTGTACTTTTTTTTTCTTGTGCTTAATTATATAATGTAGTTCAATCGAAACTACAAGGAGGTTTCCTCAAAATTTGGACTCATTCACTGCCTATGATGACTTGGTGAGTTTTTGCCACATATAAAAAACCGTTTTGTGGCATTTGTTTTGCATGAACCTTGGAGTTTGTCACTTTAATTTAAGTCAGGTACTAGCTAGCTGCTTGCTATTATTTGGATACTTGACTGCTAGTTTATGTATATAGCCTTTTCATTTTCTTAGTTTTCGTTTACCTTCTTTATGCATTCATGTTTAAAATCTAAAAAAGATCGTTTGAAATGTTAAATACTATGGAGTAGTAAATTAGAAAGAAATACTCCACATGAATAGAGTAAAATGGATTCATATAGCCAAATTCCAACTAATATAGTTGATTGATAGATTGATTCATAGTATTAAAACTTAAAAGTAAGATTTTAACAGTAAACAAGCATGTATTTTGATTGAAGAGAAGTAACCAAATGGAGTTATCATAAATGAAGGGAATACTATATAAGTATATATTTTTATCTTTTGTCCTAATTGAAGTTGTTTCTGTATATGTGTGAACAGAATGGAGATGAAAAATCTTGTTGCATCAGTTGTAATATGGATATGGTATATAACCTGTGGTTTCGGCTTCAATGTATATGCTGATGATATGGTTAGGATTGAGCTAAAAAGGCGACCCTTGGACCTTTCTAGTATAAGGGATGCAACAATGTACGCTAAAGATCTCAATAGAAAATTGGGTAATTCTGATCTGAATGACCAGATAATTTACCTAAAAAGTTATCGTGATGTCCACTACTTTGCGGAGATTGGTATTGGTTCACCGCCCCAACGATTCATTGTTGTGTTTGATACTGCAAGTTCCTATCTTTGGGTCCCTTCTTCAAGATGCTTTTTCTCGGTTAGTCTTTGTGAAGTTGTGGATTAATAATTTTCACAACATGAAACTAACTTTTGAATGGATTTATCCAATGCAGATTGCATGTTATCTTCGTCCCAGGTACAAATCAAGACTATCAAATACGTATACAAAAATTGGTATGGACCTCCAAACCTAATTTATTTGCATTGTTGATTTTAAGCACTGAATAGCTAATTATCACTTGTACTATACGTGGGCTTAATTTTATGATATATAGGAAAGTCTTGCAAAATCCCTTTTGGCACTGGTTCAGTGCATGGATTCTTCAGCCAAGACAATTTGAAAGTTGGAGATGCTATCTTAAAGCAGCAGGTGCCGGTCTTGTTTCTAATTTGCAGTATATATATATATATATATGTTGAATAAAATTAATTAAACGTACAGGTTTTCACTGAGGTAACACGGGAGGGATACTTCACATTCTTGCGTGCACGATTTGATGGAGTACTAGGGCTTGGATTTCAGGACACGGCTTCAAGGAATGTCACACCAGTATGGTAAATTATTATCTCTTCATATTATAATAACTTTTGGCGTAGTAGTTAATTATGCTTTCTGACATAGTTTTAATGAGACTCTTATCTGTATCATTGAAATTGAAATCCACATTCTTAATTTTGTTTTCAGGTATAACATGTTGCTTCAGCATATGGTTACCAAGTCAATCTTCTCATTCTGGCTAAATCGAGATCCTACGTCTAGGATAGCGGGTGAAATTCTCTTTGGAGGCATGGATTGGACTCACTTCAGGGGTCAGCATACATACGTACCAGTTGCTCAAAATGGTTATTGGGAGGTAATCTGCGTCTCTGTTTAATGGAACTTTATTTGTATTTGTAACCTGAAAAAACTGAGTTTTTGTCAAACATTCCAGATTGAGATAGGGGATCTTTTTATAGGAAACAATTCAACAGGTAATATCTTCATATACATATGTGATTTACAATATAAAAATAATGCATCTCTAGGTGTAATTTCTGCTCTTTCCCTTTCAGGTCTTTGTAAGGATGGATGTCAAGCTATTGTGGATACTGGAACATCTTTTATTGCTGGTCCAACTGTCTGTATTTAAACCATTGTTGATTTTAATTCTTATTTGCAAGATCTGTTTCTTCTCAGCCATCTCCATTTCAGACTATTTTAACTCAAATAAATCATGCCATCGGAGCTGAAGGAATTGTTAGTTTGGAATGCAAAAAAGTTGTCTCAAATTATGGGGATTCGATCTGGGAACGCTTGATATCAGGGGTAAGTGCTTTTTAACTTGTTTGTAGGATTAGCTCTAAATGTTGAGTGCAGGTATTTTAGGTGTTATCATCCTTTTGTTTGCCTGCATGCATGCAGATACAACCGGAGAAGATTTGCAACAGAATTGGACTCTGTACAAATAATGGATCTTTAGGTGGAAGGTTAGAATTTTGAATCCTTTTCCTTCATCTTGGCTGGCTGTCCAATCCGAGCGATGATCCAAAATGTTTAATCTAATTATATGTTCAGTCATGAACACCGAATGGGAATTCGAGGTGGTTTATGTTCTTCTTGTGAGATGATAGTGTTCTGGATACAAGTAGAGATTAGAAAAGAGAGATCAAAAGAAAAAGCTTTTCAATATGCCAATCAGGTATGCTTTTATACTTAATTTTCCTTTTCCGAATTCTCGTATCGTAACTAGTTACTACTACTAATACATGTATGTATTTTGTGCTGAAGCTGTGTGAGACGCTTCCGAATCCTGGGGGAAAGTCATTTATCAACTGTGATGTCTTTGCCCTGCCACATATAACATTTACCATTGGGAAAAAATCTTTTCCCCTTTCTCCAGATCAGGTTTGTTGTTATGTTATCTGAAACTATGGTAGCAAGTTCAGCTGCAGCAATTATATATAAGCTTCTAACTTTACTATCTTAATTATTCCTTTCTGTAATAGTATGTTATCAGAGTTGATGACAGTCAAGGTGTCCACTGTATTAGTGGATTTACAACTTTAAACGTGCATCCGCGACGTCCCCTCTGGTAAGACTATTTTTACTGCCATAAGTTAATAACATCCACTTGTATGATATATATTCTACTCTACTTTGCAGGGTTCTTGGAGATGCATTCTTGAGAGCATATCACACAGTTTTCGACTTTGGCAATTCACAAATTGGATTTGCAGAAAGTGCTTAGAGCGGTTTCAAGGATTATATATGACAAATTGGATTCTTCAAAAATTTGTTTGGTTTTGCTGCTTGATTTTACTTTCTAGTTCTAGGTAGACAAATAAAACTATTCTATGTTTTTACCCCTTTGTTCATCTTCACTCATTTGTCACTCGACTTCAATGTCCTTCATACTGATGAACAGTACTGGACACTCAGAAATGGTTTTGGGAATAATATACTTCAGATATCACACTTTACTTTTCTGGTTTTTCAACACTGGACACTGCACTTTATTTTATTTTTGGCATGAGCAAAACACTAGCACCTACTAGTATCTTAGTTATTGAATTATTCCCTCACAACTCTCTAATGAGTAGGTTAGGTTAAAATACACATCTCACCCAATTAAAATCAACAACTATGTCATAAATGACCACTTGGCAATTGGAAATGTTTTCCCCTAACTAAAATGAGTCCGTACTACAATGTAAAATAAATAACCCATCATCATCAAGGCATATAGCCTAAGGGGTCCTGGTGTATAGGAAGAAATAATCAGGGTATAAGGGAGTTGTTATAGTTATTCCGCGTAATTTTATACCACTATCAATATGGAATAACTAATCCATGTATAATTTATACATAAATGAAACAACAAAAGGACAAAAGTATCCTTGTCTTTTTCCTAGAAGCCTATGAAAGTAAATTATCCATGGATATAATTATAAACTGATAGCCTTTTAGTTCAAAAAATTAATTAATATTTTAAATAATATCTTTTATATCCAATTTTTAATACAATGAACCAAACGCACAACAAGAAATAATTCTTGCATTACTAATTTATGTATTACTTGTTTAACCCAAAAATAGTTTCGGAATAAAATAATAAAATTTATATTTAATAAGGTCACTAGCAATCGGTTCGAATCAAAGCTTAGTTGAATGAATGGTAGAATTAGGCTAAATAAGCAATGAATAAAGCAATATAAATAAATAAATAAATAAGCAAAAGAAAGAATGATTTTATTGAGCTTCTTTATGGGCCAGAGTATTTGCAAAGTAAGGAGAGATTGAGTGCTTAGCCTGGTCAGAATACAACAGCTTTTAAGTAAAGAGTGAGTTGAGAGAAAACTGAATGAAGTAAGGGGGTGGGTATTTATAGCTTAAGTTTAACGTTCACACGCCTGTCCCTACTTTCGCACGTCGCTCTGGATGATTGGTAATCACCAAGATACTCACCCGTTATGGGAGAAGTATCTGACGTAGTGGATATGCGTGGATCCCAAACAATCGTCATTATTTGTAAATCTGAAAGGATGTCTAGTCGGTTCTATTTAAAGTTCCAGACACGTGGCGGGCATCAACAGGTTCTGATTCCATCGCGATCATGATTACTTCGCCTATAAGAACCGTCTTCTTCCTTTGTCCTTATTATCTTTTTCTCAAACATCCTTCTTGGAATTCTGGAGACTCTATTGTTGCTTTTTTATAGAAACTTTTGACATTTTCACTTCTTATCTTTCCTCATATTCCTATCACAACCACCAATGGCTTCTCCAAATGCTTCAGTTAGTGCTCAAGAAATAACCTCCTCCATTGAGGTTGTTGTCGTTGCTCCTCTTCCTGTGACCATCACATCCATGGAGGATATGACGGTATGGGGAATCACCAGCCCTTAATAGGATAAGTAGAGGTAGTAAACCTCCGAACGACATGCTAGATCTCGAAACGACCGGTCGGGTCGTTACACATTTAAACTCTGATGCTGAGCCATAAAGGACTTCAAGGTTTCCTCTAAACTAGGATGATCCAAGGAATCTCTTTGAGGCATCGTGCGCTGGGAATCTGGTGGTGAGGATTCGCCACTCTATTTGGTGAAGCTATGATACAACCTAGAGAGAACCACACCCAAAAAGTTAGCTATTAAGGTAGGAGAGCTCAAGGCTATATAAATCCCACATCAATACATTATAATACTGATGTGGGACTCAAGTCCCATACCTTGCAATGGACCATAACAAACTACCACGCTCCGCATCCGTCATCCCCGATGGATGTGCGCTAGACTTTTCTATCCCCGGACGAATACTGCAATACCGGCGTCATCATCCATGGAATAATGGAGACGGAGGGCGGTGAGTGACTCTGATACCATTGATACAACCCAGGGAGAACCACACCCCAAAAGCTAGCTATTAAGGTGGGAGAGCCCAAGGCTATATAAACCCCACATCAACATATTGCAATACCGATGTGGGACTCAAGTCTCATACCTTGCAATGGACCATAATAAACTACCACACTCTACATCTGTCGTCCCCGACGGTTGTGCGCTAAACTTTTCTAGCCAAAGGGCAAACACTGCAATATTGATTATCATGAATCCAAATATTATTAGAGCATATGAGAAGCACGTGACTACCAGTGCATTCTCATATATGCACACATCGACCTGGCTGAAAGGTTACGCAAGATTTGGCAAAATTCCAACTATCCAAAATGTCTTCTCTCTACTCTTTCCCTCTCTCTCTATCTTTCTCATCTTCTTCTTCTTCTTTCTAATTCTTTCAGAATTCAACAGAGGAGCTTGAAGCTCATTAATTGAGTTTTAGCTTTGAATTAGTTCTCTTTCATTTTACTCTTTCATTGTAGTTATTGCTGTATTGAATCTTACAAGTAATAAAATTCTCATTTCTTCCCTAATTCTTTAATTTCGATTCAAGTACATTACAAGCTATAGGTTGGCAAGTCTTTATGGGAAGGAAAATCCTTGTGATGCGACGCATCCTTATTGGGTGTAGCTTGCTAGCCAATATCTCCTTACACGTAGGCGTAAGCCTGCTTTTCTTGGGGATTCACGGAGTTCCCCGGTCGCCCACTAGGTTGTGATGACTTGCTATGATCAGCTGGTTGAACGTTCTTTCCATTCATTCTGAGTTATAAAATAGAAAGGAAATTGACAAAAAGGTGAGAGGCAGGTTCAATGATGAGAATAAAACTCTGAGTCAAACGCTTAATTGTTAGGCCTCATGGTGAGTGCCAGTTTAACTCAAAAATATTTTTTGGATAAAATAATTAAATTTTTATTTCATGAGGCCACTAGCAATATGTTCGAATCAAAGCTTAGTTGGATGAATTGTAGAATTAGGCTACATAAGCAATGAATAAAGCAATAAACATAAATAAACAAAAGAAAGAATGATTTTTATTGTGCTTCGTTATGAGCCACAATGTTTGCAAAGTAGCTCGCTATGTATAACTGCTCTGCTATAGTAGGCTCGCTCATAGGTACTCGGCCATATTAGGCTATGTATCTCGGTCATTCTAGGCTCGCTCATAGGCGTTCGGCCACAGTAGGCTTGGTATATAACTTACCATCTTATCAGAGATTGCCCAATAGGGGCCTGCCTACCGATTATAGCTCGATGGTGGTAAAAATGCTATAATACTGTATATGTATATATAACGAGACATAAACAAAAGTCCGTACTCCTGAATTTAGTAAGGAGAAATTGATTGCCTAGCCTAGACAGGATACAATAGCTTTGAGCAACTAGTAAGTTCGAGAGAAAATTGAATGAATTACAAGTACAAGGAGTGAGGGTATTTATATCTTAAGTCTAACATTCACATGCTCATCCCCACTTCTGTACGTCGCTCTGGGTGGTTGGTAATCACTGAGATACTCGCCGATTGTGGGAGAAGTATCTGACATAGTGGATATGAGTGAATCCCTAATATTTCGGGGATGGTTGAGGAGCAAGTTAGATCCCGAGCTATTACTTCACCAATGGATCCCCAGAACCTTCTTTGGGGCGCTCCATTGAGACATGGCTCTCGTGTTCTCGGGAAGGAATTACCGGGTCAAAAATACTTCTTGCACGGACAAAGTTTTGCTACTGTTTTATCTCTGGGATAAAATCTATTCCAAGCAATATCGTGCCATCATGTGATCTATCCACGTGTCAAAGGCATATTTTACTAATACATTACTAATTCCTACATTATTAATCCATGTATAATGTGTTTCGAACCAAACGACCTATAAGTGATATCCATGGGAGTCTTTTACACCTAGTGTGATTTGCGCTATTCTCCTTTCAATCTACCTATATAATGAAAAGGTTAAAAATTAAGAAGAAGACAAATTATCTCTCTTTCCCGGAGTAATGAGTTTAGTGTGCTTTCTTATATAATGAGTTTATGTAGCGTAAATTTGAATTACTAGGACCATTGGATACTAGGTACTAGATGGTTATAAGAAATATTTAAAACAAACAATGGAAAATCTTAGTAGTTTAGTTATTACCTACCTCATCTTTTTATGTTATTAGTATCTATGAACGTGCACGTGATGGTTTAAATATTTATTTATATAAATGAACATCAAAATTTAATTAATGAGAGAAAATTTATATATAATAATCAGTATTTTAAAAGGCGAGGGTGTGAGGCGGGGCGTTTTACTTAATACGGGGCGAGGCGAAAGTCTCGAGACATGGGGCGTAAGCCCCATGGATCTTTAATTTTTTAAATTTATGAATTAATAATATAGCATTATAACCAAAAAAAAAACATATATAAGATACATTAAAAGTTCATGAAAACTAAAAAGAATTTAAGAAACTCTTATAAAATAAAATATCTAGTGTGTTTTACAAGTATAAATAATGCAATACTGTTAAAGTTACTATGAAATATAAATTTACTACAATCTCTTAACTTTTATACGATTAAAAATCATAATTTCTTAAAAAATATTATCAAACTGCATATTTTACCTCCTTAAAAGTAAATACTCAATAAATTTTATCAACATTGTAATTTAAATTATTACCCCTTCACGAGAAATATAAAATAATTTTTAAAGAGTAAAATAATAAATATATGATAATTTAGTGAGACATAGAACTAAGACATGAAGATTTATCAAGTAAAGATATAAATTTTGGTTAACTATTACAGAAGAGATATTCAAATGATATTCACCCTCACGATGTACTCAATTAATAAATATGCAATACGATCATTTGTTTTTTGAGTTATTCACATTTTTCATATTCCTATAGATAAAAAGAACTTTAATTATTCATTTGTTGAAGAATTTTGAGAGTCAATAGTGCTAATTAGTGAATTCAACACATGATTTGCATAGGAATTGTGGGGCAAGTCTCGAGCGTTGAGTGTTAGGCGTGTTTAGGGCGCACAATCGGACGCTTGAGGGCGTAAGTCTCACATAACTAATCCCCACACGAGTC